CCGGGACCACAGATCATGGAGAAAGAAGTTGGAGTCCAACACCATCTGAAGGACCGCAGATTTCTCACCCCAGCTGCAAAATGTCCACCTTAAAATGTTAATGTGTGAAGATTTTGCTCTCTATTTCAATAACCGCCATTGTTCACACTATTAGGAAGAGGACTGGTCTCTGTCCCTGAACATTCCCAGTCCTAACTGGATATTATGCTTGGTAGCTCTTCCACAGAATGACAGCCCTTCCGAAAGGGGGGACCCAGAGGGTCCATTTTCTCATTTCGGAGCACCCCCTTTTGCATCTCACAACTTCTCCCCCTCTCCAAACTGCTAACACATTTCAGAACTGGGAAGAGAGTTCAGCACTCCCTGGCAAATCTGAGAGTGTCACTTCTCAAATGAGGCAAACAGGTTGTGATGAGCCTTCCCAATAAAGTCTTTGGGAATAAGCAATGAAATCAGCCCGCAATAATAATTATGAGAAACACATGGTAAGAAGATTATGTTCAACTGGTACTTGCTGCCAGCAGGCACACATCACAAATTATCCCAAAAGGTGGCACTAGCAGTATCAGAAGCTGGAGCTCAGCTTCAATCTGCTTCAGCAGGGACCCTGAGAACCTAACAAGAGCCAAAGGCCCATCTAATCCATAGGAAACACAGGAAGCTGCCTAATACCAAGTCAGACCACTGGTCCATCTCACTCAGTATCATCTACACTGACTTGCAGCAGTTCTCCAGGGTTTCAGGCAGGGATCGATTGTCTCCCAGCCCAACTCAGAGATGGTGGGGATTGAACCTGTAACCTTGTGCATGGAAGACGGATGTGCTACCATTGAGCCATGGCCCTATCCCCTCTCACAGTGGCCAACCAGACTGGAGAAGCTCCATCTGAAGGGACCTTGTAAAAGGACTGCTATTTGGGGCAGGTGGAGTTGAGGCTTCCTAGGATGCCATCTGCTCTCATCTAGACAACCTGCCCCTAAGCCCACAAGCGCTTGAGGATAGGTTTCCTGTTCGTGGGAGAAATGCACTCTGCACATGCTCAGAAGTACCTCAGTTACTGCATCGGTAGCCCCAGGGCTGAACCCTGGCTTACATTAAACCTTGCTGACTGCATTTTGAGGCAGGCAGGGACAAGCTCCAGTCTCCAAAGCAGCGCAAGCCCATTTGGTGATGGCTAGCGAGGGAATGGAGAACGTTTTGACCAGCAGAATGATGAGGCTGAGTTCAGGGGATCTAAAACCCTTCCCTGCCACAAGGAGGCATGAGGTGGAGCAATGAATTAGCTCCTTTGTGTTGTTGTGCACCAGCACACCTCCGCTGCAAGCTTTTTCTCATTTTCTCATCCCAGCACAAGTTTCCAGGAACTCTGCAAGACTTCCTTCCTTTGCTCTGCCTGCAGAACGTATGGGTTTCCTCTTCCCATAATAAAGGCAAAACATTTTTGTTTTAGGGGCAGGGTTTGTGCCTTTGTCTTTTTCTCTTCAGCTGAGCCAAATCTGCTAACATCTGGCTATCTTTGTACTTTGAGAAGTACAGTAAGTTTTTAATTTTCATCTGCTGAATGCTGGCGGGTGGATGGGTGTGGATTCATAAAGAAAGATGGGGTAACAGGGAGGAACATGTGCAGAGAGGATCTTCATTAATGATCCATCCTTTGCAGTTCTGAAAAATGCATCAGGGCTTTTTTCAAAAAAGAGGCCTGTGAGGGGTGTGGCCTGGGGGAAGAGGGTGTGGCCTGGGGGAGTACCAAGGGCCAGGCAAATGGGACTGGAGGGCTGCATTTGGCTCCCATTCCTGACCTAACCGCACCATGCTTCACCTCTTCCTCCATGGTTTAGAAGTTAGAGCTAAAACTGGGCAACTCATCTCCCATGCATGTGAATGCAAATACATGCACACTCAAGAACATTAAGATGCCACATATCTTGGGTTCTGGCCAACTAGGTAAAGGTAAAGGGACCCCTGACCATTAGGTCCAGTCGTGGCCAACTCTGGGCTTGCGGCGCTCATCTCGCTTTAGTGGCCAAGGGAGCTGGCGTACTGCTTCCTGGTCATGTGCCCAGCATTACTAAGCTGCTTCTGGCAAACCAGAGCAGCGCACGGAAACGCCATTTACCTTCCCGCCAGAGCGGTACCTATTTATCTACTTGCACTTTGAGGTGCTTTCAAACTGCTAGGTTGGCAGGAGCAGGGACCGAGCAACGGGAGCTCACCCTGTCGCAGGGATTCAAACCACCGACCTTCTGATCGGCAAGTCCTAGGCTCTGTGGTTTAACCCACAGCGCCACCCGCGTCCTGTGCAGCCAACTAACTTTTACTCAAAATAGACCCACTGAAAATAACAGCCAAGCTAAGTTAGGGCTATTAATTTCAGTGGGTCTACTCTGTTAGTTAATACAAGCCTGTTTCATTTCAAATGCTGGAGAACCTGATTTTCAAACATTGAGGAACAGTCTGTAGGATGGTTTTCTTCTTCTTCTAACATCTCTTTGAGCTAAAGAACACCCCTTCTTGTCTTTTGAAACCACACAGGACAGGCTACTGAGTAAATAAGAACAGGAAGATTACTAGTCTACCTTTCAGGGATGTTGTGAGGGCAAACACAATGATGCTCGTATAGCACTTCTGCCAATTAATAGCAGCATCTTGGGGATGGAGGGAGAAAACCATTGGCAAGAGCATTCGCCTTTCTGAGGGGTTCATTACTCTAAAGAACGATACTCAACATGAAATGCAAAATAATAAATAAAGTGAATGCAGCTGCACTGGTCCAGAAGAAAAAAAGACCAAAACCAACGATTGAGTAATACCTTTAATCAGACCAACCAAAATGTCATGAAATAGCAAGCACATGCTCTCCAGAATTCTGCATAAGGTTTTCACCCCAGACACAATTTCAGAATAACATATGAATCCGAGCGCACTACAATCACAGAGAGAAAAAACAGAGCCTCTTCACAAAGCGCTTCATTTGTAGAATTCACTGCCATAGAACGTTATGGCAGCAATTGACTTAGAGTGCTTTGGAAGGTGACAAATTCATGTTCCACCCCAAAAAACAAAACTATTAACCATGATGGCTATATGGAACCTCCATTATCAGAGGTAGTCTCTCTGTGAATACTGGATGGTGAGAAACAAGGGAGGGATAGCTTTTTGATGTCCTTCTCAGTAGCTTCTCAGAGCCCTCTGGCTGGACACTCCGGCCAATGGGATGCTGAATGGCATGAATTCTTGGTCTAGCCCAGGAAGGCTCTTCTTATGTTCCTTATTCAAAGAATAGCAGTAATTTTTTTAAAAAATAAAGTCTTACATGCAGGCTTCATATGCCAGAACAGCAGATACTCTATTTGGGGTGTGTGTGTGTGTGTGTGTGTGTGTGTGTGTGCACATAGCTTCAGATGATGCCTTAACTCTTAAAAAGAAAAGAAATAATTCTGCCAGCTTTCTGGTGCCAAAACACACATGCTAGCAGTTGCTTATTAAATCAGCACTTCACTTCATCTGGGAACAGTTTTAGAGAGGAGAAATCTCTAAAGCGTTAAGCAGCAGAGGGAAGTGGGTGGGTGGGGGGCAACAAATCCAGTAGCCACTGGCAAAAAAACCACAACTCCCTCCCTCCCACACATACTTTGAGATGCACACCCCAAACATTGGGATCTGAATGCAGAGGGTAAGACGGACATCCCTTAAAGGGCTGCCTGACCCACCTGCTTCAGGTTGAACTGGAGTTCACCCAGTCGATACAGAAGAAAGCTGGGAAGTAGACAGTCTCTGCAGAGTGGTGAATAACGAAATTACAGCTGAAGCACCAGAATGCCAGGAAGCCAAAGGGGGGGGGGAGCTCCAAAGTGACTATTCTCTGGGAAATATATGGGATGGGTATTGTTCGGAGCAAAAGGGTACCTCTTAGGCACTATCTACCAACTATGTCTCCAGGAGAAATTGATGGAGCTCACACAAAAAATCCACAAGCCCTCTCGCCCAAGCCTTTATCCCTGATGTGTGATGTCAGGGATGGGCTTTTCAAAAGACATCTGGCAACCCTGCACAAATCCCACTTTGCAAACACAAAGTCAAAATTGGCATATTTGAGAGGTCATTTAGGCTGACCCCTTGCCTGTGCAGGAAAGTTGGTGCTACAACAACCCTGAGAGGCAGCTATTCAATCTCTGCTTAAAAAGAAAAAGTTCTAAGGAAAGAGTCTGCCACCTTCTTATACACAATCTTGCAACACATCTGTCCCAGGATTCTGTCTCTAATGTCCATGTAAAATTATGCCCTGCTCAGTCTCAAGGTCTAACCAACTCCTGTACCGTCTTACAGCTGTTGAAAGCCAGAACAGGCACTCTCTTCCCACCTGCCTTCCTTATTCAGAACACACCCACCTCTTCTTCCACTTCTCTCCCTCATCTCCTGAAGTTTATTCCAGAATGAACCAGCCGATCTTCCTACAACCATGTTCAAGGACCCCCCTGGCTCTCCCTTATATAAAAACTGTCCATCAAACTGAGCAGCGGGACAGTTATTTTAGTCGACAAATTGCTTAAAGGTGCCAATTTGTTATATAATACTAACTTTCTCACACACGCCATAGGGACCAAGAGTTAGTGCAGGATTTATCAAATGGAAAGGGTTTTAAAAGTTCTGTCCCTCGATTGAAATTCCAAGAAGAAGCTCTGAAAGGATTAAACAGGAAATAAAAAGGAAAGGTGGAAGGGGAGAGAGAAAAAAATAGATGGAAAGAAAAATAAAAAGTCCCATTAAATACTATTTACCTTGGACAGGGCTGAATTAGCAGAGGGTGTGTGTAAAAGCCGATTCTTAATCTATTCAGTAAGCAAAAATGGAAAGAGAGATTTTTCTCCCCCACTTCCAAATACAAATAGGCAAAGAAAGAAAGAAAGAAAGAAAGAAAGAAAAAAAAAATATTTTTTTGCCTTTTAAAAGACAATAAACATTTAGCACTGCAGGGCGGGTGGGGAGGGAGAACAACTTACTGCGACAAGAACAGGTAGAAAGTTCCACTCCAACGCCCAGCGGAGAGATGTCAGCGGAGTGTAAATTCCAGACACCCAAATCGTCTTGGCTAAGAAAAGGAAAATAAAGAGTTTGGAACTCTGGAGAGAGAAATTCTGCTGGTGCAGCTGGTTGCAACAGCAGCACACGCACACACAAAAGGTGGTGGAGGGGGTAGGATCCACAAAGCCAGCCCCCACCCACCCCAAAGTCAGCGTGGTTGCTGCTTCAGCGGCTCAGGGTGACTCTGGGTTCTTCGCCCACTGCCACCCGGCTGCTGCTGCTGCTGCGTCTCCCTCTTGCTCGCTCGCTCGCACTGAACTACCCAATGAAGGGCTGCTTCGCTGGGAGGGACCGAAAGAGCGGCGAGGGGGTGGGAAGAGAGGGGGGGTGGGAGAAATGCAACAGTGGAGAAACTGAGCCTCAGCGTCGGGCTGCCTTTAAATGGGAGTTTTTTAAAAAAAGGTTTCAATAAATCCAAGGGTTGGGGGCGAGAGAGAGAGAGAAGGAAAAAGTCAACTCCCCGAGGAAATCAGAAGCAGATTTCAAGACATTTAATCACATACAGGGAGGTGTGTTGTGTGTGTGTGCATGTGAGTGCGAGAGAGAAAGTTATGCCCTGCCTTCCTGGGTTCGCCTCCCTCCCTCTTTCTCTCTCTCTCTCTCTCTCTCTCTCTCTCTCTCTCTCTCTTCCTCCTTCCACCTCCTTTGCTCTGCCTTTTCGGTCCTCTCTGTAAAAGGGAGCTCCTTTTCTAGCCGAGGCTGGCTAGCCCACCGAACCCCCCACTCCCCAGCCCCCGCTAAAGGGAAGGTGGAAGAGGAAGGAGAATTGGGGAGAAAAGTGCCGCGCTGAGCAGCCAGAGGGGACACGCAAGGCAGGAAAAGAGAGAGAAAGGGGGGAGATTATAAACTATTCTTGCAAGGAGGTGAGGATGGGGAAAGGAATTTGGAAATTAAAACAGGGAGTCTCGGGGGAAAGTGAATTCAGGGGCTGGGAAGGGGGGGGGGGTAAAGGGCTTGTCAGGCACTGCTGCACTTCCAGCTTTTTGGAAAGGCAGAGACGAGGTGAAGACAGGGCTTGGTTTTATTTCTCCTTTATTTTTTTGGCTTCACAGGCTGTTGGGTTCTTGGAAGTTCTAGGAAATTGAAAAAGGCGGGGCCGGCCAGGGGAAGCCTTCCCCCTCTAGCTAACACCAGGATGGATAGGTAAGGAGAGGAAATGCCAGTTCTGGGAAGGTGCGGGGTGTGTGTGTGTGTGTGTGTGTGTGTGGATTTCTGCAAGCAGAAAAGGAAGGAGGTTTGCGAGCGCTTTGAAGGGACGCCTCAGCGTCACACCTGAGCCACTGACATCTCAGGTGGTGCAGCACTATCAACCTCTTCATCATTTGAGTTTCTTCCCGGAATTTCAAAGTGGTCCAGACCATTTACAGCAGAGGCATGGAACCCATCACCCTCCAGACGTTTCTAGCCCATCGCCCCAGATTCCTGCATTGCAGAGAGGGTTGAGCTAGATGACCCTTGGGTTCCCTTCCAGCTCTACAGTTCTGATTCCCTGACCCCTGGGACTGGTGGAAGCCCAACGACACCTGGAAGGGCACAGATCCCTGGCCCTGCTTTGCAGTAACCCTACTCATGCCTTCCCCACCTCCAAGCAACCTCTGTGCAATTTGGTCACCACATATCCCCACTTTACAGAAGGGCACACTGAGGCCGCGAAGGATGGAAGTTGCCCATAGGGCCACCCAGGTTGTCCAGAGGTTTGAAGGCCAGGTGTCTCTCTCCCCCCCCCCCGCCCCCTGATTTAAATCCCAGCCTTTGTTTGATAAAACCTGCCCGAGATTTATTGCTCAGCCCGGGATTCTCAACCCTGCTGTTAAACGGTGCATCCCGCCGGCCTTGCAGCCGGCAATGTCCACATGTGGCAGACAAATTACTCCAGGATGCTCATTGTAACTCCACCATCCTGAGGAATGCGGTGAGGTTCCAACATCAGACCCAAGCGATGGTCAACTGCTGTATGCGCAAACATGCAGGAGTTACTCACAGAACAGATGGCAGATGTGACCAACTTGTAACTGCATTGGCAGGAGAGCCAAAGACAAGGGAGGGCAGACACATTTTTTTTAAAATGGAAGAAGCAAAAAACAAAAAAACTAGTGCACACGCCCCAAATTACAATTAGGTAGCAAATTATCACCGCTTCATATGTGTATTTGTGAAAGGTGTCTTACAGGGCGGCTTCCTGGATTTCTGGTTATCAAACACCATAATGCAGCCCTAACAGGTATTTTAAAGTAAGCTGCCTTGGGTTACTCCGTTAGATAAGTGACTAATAAAGTGTAACAATAATATTTTAAGCAACAGATTTCAGTACAGGTCACAACCAATTTATGTGTGTCCAAGTGACATGCTACTGTGCACACGTACATCACACCAAGCCCAAAAGTGGCTTTGAAAATGGCAAAAATGGCCCTAAAAGAACCCAGAAAGGGAGTGGGGGAGGTGCAAAAAACAGGGTACCCTCAAGCCGACCATTGAGACCTGTGGAGGGTTTGAGTTTGAGGAAGGAGGTTTAGAGGTAGTGATTGTGATGGATGTCTGGTAAGTGCTGCTGGTTTTTTAAAGTGTTCCTCAAGGGCTTCCAGAGGTTTAGAGGGTGTTTGTAGGCTTTTCCAATGCTGTTTCAAATACACGTGATTTCACTGACATGCGCGGTGCCTTGGAACTTAACCCCGGCAAATGGCGAGTTGCCTGAAGTGCATCAACATGCAGAAAAAGAAAAGGCTCTGGGTCCCTCCACATGTGTGCACAATGCCTCTCTGTCACCACAGCCTAGCCACACAGAGCCCTTTGAAACACAGGGCTAGTGGATAGGCCGCCCAAGGTCAGAGGGGGCAGAACTTCTAGGTCGGTTTAAGTTGCAATTCCAGAAATCTGTGTGGTGCGCAACCAGGAGGCGTGGAAGTCTCCCCACAGGCTAAGCACATGTGAAGCTGCCTTGACTCAGACTCATGGCGCGTCTTGCTCAGTACTGTCTACACTGATTGGCAGCAGCTCTACAAGGGTGCCTGAAGTGATCTTTCTCAGCACGACTTGAAGAAGATGGTGGGGACATTTTGTACACATAGCGGGCACTCAAACAAAGAGCCATTTAAGGGTAGGGGATCTTCAGGCTCGGGTGCAGGATGTGGCCCTCCAGGACTTTCTACCTGGCCCTTGGGACCTTCCCCACTCCGCACCACTCACTGGCCCCGCTCCATTCCCTCCCTGAGTGCCTCTGCCCAGTATGTCCTCTTATTATGCCACTTTGTGTTTAGAAACATCTATGTTGAGCCTGGCTTATTGCACCAAGGCAAGAGTCCCACCTGTGGCTCCACCCAATTTTGGCCTGCAGCCACACCCGCCACCAGGATGTGGCCCCCCAGAAGGTTGCCCATGAGGAAATGCAGCCTCAGGCTGAAATATCTTCCCCACCTCCTCACAGAACCACCTACCGACACATGGCATTGTGTTCTAGAAAAGCACTACTTCACATTCTACCTCAGCTTTTGTCTTTGGGAGCATTGCTCCCTTAAAACTTAACCTTTTGCCATGATGTGCTACCCTTCTGTTTGCTATGATCTAAACCACAAGGAAAGCCACATCACCTATAGTCTCCTAGCAAGCAATATATGCTCACGATCAAGATAAAACTATGAGACGATCTGTCGACAACAATGAAATGATCATGTCGTAGGACTCGAAAAGTCACACTGTCACGGATTTGGTGCCATGTGACAAACACAAATACCTGCGGATGTATGGAGGAGAATTCAACATGTCATACCCCCAGCTGCCCATCGAATAGCAGCTTCCTATTTAAATTGCACTGAGCATTCCGCATGTGGTCAGCCTTCGAGCACAGACCGGGCTCTGACAGATATTTTAGCTTACTTTCATTTTGCTGCACACTCAGGGTCTGGAATCAACAGCCAGATGCTTCCTCCTTCACACCATACAGAACTACAGGATGTTGCAAATGCTTCTACAACAGTCAAACGTTCTAAAAGAGTCACACGAATTTGATCGGCGACAAGTAAGTTAGCAAGGAATGGTGCCACCACATTCAGGTGCAGTATATCTGATGACCAGATACTGAAAGTAAAAAAAATTAAAAAATAAAGGAATAAGGATCTCCATGACTGGCATCAGGACCTGGCATCATCAGGAAGCTGCTAGGGCCCCACTGACCCTAAAGCCTTCCTTCTAGCCTCCTTGCCAGGTGGCAAGCAACTACAAACGGCCATTTTAAATTTCTTAGACATTGTGGGAATTTTAAATGGTGGCCCCTACTGGAGCATTCCAGGGCATTTATGGGAGAGTTAAAATCAGGGGTCAGCAACCTTTTTCAGCCATGGGCTGGTCCACGGTCCCTCAGACCATGTGGTGGGCTGGACTATATTTTTTTTGGGGGGGGGATGAACGAATTCCTATGCCCCACAAATAACCCAGAGATGCATTTTAAATAAAAGCACACATTCTACTCATGTGAAAACACCAGGCAGGCCCCACAAATAACTCAGAGATGCATTTTAAATAAAAGGACACATTCTACTCATGTAAAAACACGCTGATTCCCAGACTGTCCACGGGCCGGATTGAGAAGGTGATTGGGCCACATCTGGCCCACGGGCCTTAGGCTGCCTACCCCTGGTTAAAATGGTAGCTCATTGTTGCGTTACCAAAGCGAAAGGCACAGATATACAAAGGAGTCCATGGAGGGCACTCTGCCAAGATTGGGACCAGCCCTGACTGTCCTAGATGGAACTTTGGTCTGGCTCAGTCTAGCAATTCTTAAGACACCAGCTAGCGTGGGGCAGGGGGGGGGGGCGGCATTTGAAACTATCTATTAAGAACCCCACATAGCAACTGCACCAGTTCTGAAAAAGCTGTGGTTTTCCAGAAATCTGTTGGACTCCCATCAGCCTCAGCATGGTCAGTGATCTGAGATAATGGAAGTCAGTGTCCCGCAATATTTGGAGGGCGACGGGTTCCCTATCTCCATGTTAAAGTAATTTACATTGTTGAGGTTTGCTCCAAGGTAAGTAGATACAGGACTGCAGTCTTAAGCTGCAACTCTATATACACATACTTGGGAGTTACTTCTGAGTAAGCATGAAATACAAAAACCATGTGTATGAAGGATAGATGAAGGCTTCATCAGACAAGCCAGTCTGAGAAATGGAAGAGTCTCTTCCCAAATTGGTGGCCACATCTGTGTTGCCAGAACTTACAACCATGGGGTGGAGGGGCAGCTGTCATTTCCACGTCTTACTTCGTCTCTGACAAAACTGTAAGTCTTTTCGCAATATACCGGTATTTTTTCCAGATATATTTGCAACTACCAGGACTACAAACTTGCATTTAAAAGAAGAAGAAGAGGCTAGTCTTTTCAGGGTTGTAGCTAGAATCCAGGGACTCTATTGTGCCTTCTAATGATTAGTGATTTATGAAATAGGAAAGAAAGAAAGAAAGAAAGAAAGAAAGAAAGAAAGAAAGAAGAGAGAAGATACCAGTCCAGGAAAAAAGAGAATAGGAACTCTTAATCTACAACTGAAATTATTATAAATTTACTAGTAGTAATTAACAATACAATCCAGATAAGGATGGAGGGGGGGAAGAGAAATTCCATTCGGTTTGTATTTAAAGACAAATCTACTTTGAACACTACTAGCTAGGGAACAGCAGCTAGGGAACAAGCATATCACATTGTGGGAGCTGGTGTGGTGTAGTGGTTAGAGTGTTGGACTAGGACATGGGAGACCAGGGTTCAAATCTCCACTCAGCCATGCAACTCATTGGGTGACCTACCTTATAGGGCTGCTAGGGGATTCAATGAAGGGGGAACCATGTACGCCACTTTGAGCTCGTTGGAGAAAAAGGTGGGGTTATAAATGCAATGAATTAAATAAATAAATTTCCTGTCTGTGAGCCCAGCAGAGGCTTCTGGCTGGCCACTGTGAGAACAAAAAGCTGGCCTAGATGGTGCCTTTTGATTTAATCTAGCTATTCCTGATTTAGAAGCACTGCCTGAAAACATTTTAACCAGATCTGTCCTTCAGAGCAAAAAAAGGACACCCCGAAAATTGAAGATTTCTAACATTGTTATCTTCAGAAATAATATTCATAACGCAAGTGGTCCCCTCCAGTGGATCTCAATCCATGTT